CTTGAAATCAGTATATCTTCCATTCTCTCTTTTACCCAAACGAATGGGGTCAAAAATTAGAGATGATCCAACGTCACTCCGATCCATTGAAGAGGACTCTTTAGTTACCTTCAATGTTCAAAGAAATGCCAAGCTTCTGTTGAAGGACATTAGATCCTTCACATTTGTACTGGATTCTGTATGATACGACAAGATATGTCAAGCCTAATCTTCACACATGGTAGTTATAACGAGCATTAGTTCTTGACCAGACCAGTTGTCGTTCTCAGCTTGTTTCATATAAAATTTTGTTTTAATGTTAATAAAACGTTGCATTGGTTTGTATTTCATTCCAGATACCATTAATTTTCGTAAATTACCAGACAACAATCCCTTCGTCTTTTCTATTATTAATATAAAACTAAATTTTGTAACGTCGAATACAAATTTCGTTTGAAACTATCAACCAGTATTGGGAAGTATCTTGAATAAGTCAACAATATATTATTTTTAAAACTTCAGAACTAGCGATTGTTTCTCATATACGTATATACGTGCCGAAATCATTGTTATAAGTCTGTATAGATTCGTTTCACAGTTGCATGGTTGATGATTGAGCAATAGACAAAGCGGACAACTACAACTTGCTAGGAACAGAGACACGGAGAAAGTGTGTGTCCCGATGATGGCAGGTCTCTCTGCTTTGATCATCGCTCCATATCTAACTACTTAAGCTTTACGTATTACCTTTTATTATATACTTTTTTTTATCTTACTCTGTCTTGGCGGTAAGATGGGTATTAGCCCAGGATGATTGCTTTGCTTCTGGTATTTACCTGAGGGTACCCGTGTTCTTTGGGTGGTCTCCCTCGCCTCTTTTTAATTAATTCATGCTGTTAGGTTATGGTTAGTATCAAGCATTCACCAAGTAAACGTTAGCAAGAAAGCATAATGTGTCAACTTTACTCTTGTACATTCTATCAAAATAGGTCATAAAATAATCATGATTTCAACAATTATACTTATAAATATTAAGTTTAGCCATATTCATCAATTCAAAGATGATGAATCATGTTTTTAAAAATAAGGATTGGTTATATATACATTTTTTTGGTCGGTGAATTTTTTGTGAAATCTGTATTTTTCTGTTCTGGTTAAAAAAAATAATCATCAGCAGTAAGATTCATGTTCATGTTTTAAAAATGTAGTCACCTTTTGGAAATTCTCAAACTTCAAGGTTTAAGTTAGTTTGATAAACAAAATAAAATTACAGGTGAGGGAGGAATCATGACACTCGATCTAAAATTTCAAGAGGTGGGAGTAAAACCAACCAAGCGCTTGTTTTAATATCCTCAAGTTCTTTTTTTTCTTATTTATTGATTAAAAAAGAAAGATCAATGACTTGGTCATTTGGTATTGAACTTTTTCAATTAAAAAATTTCAAAGTAGATTAAATTTGTAATTTTTTTTGGAATGCTACTGGAATACTATAAAATTTAGGACCTATAACATTGTTTATGTATATAAAACATGAACAGTTAAATTAGAGATCAACACATGTATCAAAGTCATCTGCGTTGATAGTGATTTCTGAATTATTATTGTGGAAATTTAGGTTACAATTGTAGAAATGCAACCATACAGCCTTATATCTCCAGTTCCTATTTAGGCATCACTAGGATAAAAAAAAGTAAACCAGACACATCACTCTATGATATTTATACATATACTTAAAGGAAGGTTATATCACCTGAGAAAGGTTATAATCAAACAGCTAATCAGGGAAAAATAAACTTATGAAAAAAACGTGTAATCGCCAACCAAAATACGTAAATATACCACAAAAATACAAATAATAAGTAAACAAAAATAAATAACAATAAATAAAAAACCAAAAAAAAAGAGAGCTGAAAATGAACAGCAAAGGAAGGTTACCATCAAAAACAGTTAATAACGCAGATAAATTTGTTTTGTTTTAAGATAACCTTCCTTTGATGAACATTTATAATTCTTCTTTTTTTCTTTGAATTTTTTCTCTTCTTATGGTTTGTATTACATTTTTGTTTCATATTTACGTACTTTAGTTGGTGATTACACGTTTTTTCATATGTACCTTTTTAGTTGATCAGATATTTGATTATAATGTTACTCAGCTGTGATAATTTCCATTTCTTTCAGTATGTGTTTGGATGCTCTGATGTGAGTTTTTTTTATATCTTAACGATGCATGAATTGACAAAACGTTGACGGATTTTGGTCTTAAAGTCCAATTTCGCTGGGACTGCCAACAGCGCCGACTGATAGTAGGTAAGCACTGTTTTAATAGAATAGCAAGGAGCATATTTTGCGGCCAGCGAAATAGTCCCTTTTCTATTCCACTAAAACAGTGCTTAACCGCTAGCAGTCGACGTGGTGGACAGTACCATCGAAATAGTACCTTTTACCTGCTTTTTAGAGACGCAGTGCTGTGTGTTAGTATTTTTCCATTATAATCTAATGTATATCTATTGTTTTCCTCTTGGTGAGTTTTTAATCGTGTATATCAATAACTAGTTTTTAGTCAGATAATAAATTTTGTTTATACATGTCTGAACATTTTAGAATTATACTACAAAACATGTTATGAGAGTAGTAAAAGTTTTATCAGGTTATAAATAAAAAGTGGACACTAAAATAGTAGTTAGAAGTTAGGAATCAATAATCTTAACACTGCTTTCAAAAAATGGTAGCATGCAAATCAATATTCATCAAAAGCTATGTCGAAATCAAGATTGAAGTGTTTCGATTTTGAAACCAGAATACCTATGACCTTATTATTTATCATACCTTTGGCATTGAAATATAAAGTAAAATGACACATATGCGTTAGTGTGAAAGACATAGATAGTTAATGAGGATGCGTTCATCATGCACTAAGTCGAGCAGGGACTGAGGACCTGGGTGTAGACGAGGGGTATGCAGACAGTGTCGTAGCTGATGATGGAGCCAAGCCTTCTCCTGTGCTCCGACAGCTCCATGAGGAGGGTCTGGACGACATGGTCTGAAGAGATGAGTGACTCCTTCCTCGCCCGGTTGATGATGTTGGTGGCCCAGACCAATGGCATCCAGTACTTTGCCATCGGGGACCGTTCGTCCATCATCTCCGCTATCTTCTTTTCGCTCTCCATCATTATACCTTATCATCACACCTCCCTTTTTAATTTATTACCACAACAACGGAAGCCCAAGAAATTTTTTGATATTCATTTAATGGTCCGGTCTCATGTAAATAACCTAATCATCCAATTAATTATTCATTGAGTTCGAAATGAAAAAAAAACAAAAAACAAATGGTGCATTTAATTTTGTAAATATTTAAATGATATTCAAACTAAAGTATCTTAATATAGACTTACGCACCATTGCTACCAATATTACACCAGCATTGTTTTCAACCAAACAACCCCCTCCCACCCAATAACATACAAGGTTATATTTTGTTTATCATCAGTCATTAAACCCAAATAAATAAAAAAATGTACTTTATATAAAACTATTTATTAATTATATAATATATTTAATTAAAGCAATATCACTGAATTATTTATTAAAGTACTTACAACTTTTATCTCCCTCCAAAGTGCACAGACCTATGGAGGGTTGATGTATTTTAAATGTAAAGAATTATAGTTTTCATTTGCATTGTAATGATTGCGCAAATGAAGTCAAGTCAATAAGAATAGATGTAACGTAATAGAACACTACGAGAAATACAAATAAGAGAACGCAAATTAAACAATTGTTATTGAATAGGACAATTAAAAAAATTTATAAAATGAAATAATCGAAAAATAAATAAGATAGATATCCCACAATTCATGCAAGATGTATGAAGTTGCAATTTAGATTTTGGGTAGTTTTTTAAAAATATTTTTTATCATTATGAAAATCATGATCGAGTCATTATTTTGAAAATTCCCTTATCCACTAACAACGAAAAATAATGACATACTCCCCAATGAGTAAATAAATGCAGTTATGAATAAAAGATAAATATACCTGCAAAATTTATGGTCAATTAAATACGTCATAATTTGCAAGGGTTGAAAAATTTCTAAAAGGAAAAATAATCATTGATAAAGATACAGCATATATCTTTTAGTTTATTATTTCCTATGATGAACAGTTGTAATCAAGTTAAAGATGAAATTTTAAACCTTTTTCAAAATATACAGTACTTATTTATTTCTGTATTATAACACCAATTAATTTAATTATTTTGAAAAAAAATTTTGACTAATTTAATTATTAGTAATTTGAAATATTTTTTTTTTCAATCATTGTAAGATTCTCAAGATAGACTTGCTTACTTTCAAGGACTGTTATATCATATTATAGCCCATTCCGACTTACACATAAAGAAAAATATCATAAACACGTGCGAATATACCAACACGCCTGTTGGGTTACAATGAGCATCAACCAGCGGGATGTGCTTTATCTATTAGGAAATAGAAGCTATCTTATATGTATTTGAAAAATATGCTCTTTTAAGAAATGTTCTCCAGAGTGCCCGTGTCCCAGTTTAGAAGACATAACCTGATTGCCGGTTATACATAACGAAAAGTAAAAAAAAAATCCGTGGATCATAATTTATTGTAAAAACAGAAGATCGTAGTTCAAGGAAGTAATTGCTATCTTTGACGAAATATTATATTATTAAATATTCTCAAAGTAAATTACTTTTTTTAGAGGTTAATGGTTGACTTAAGTGAATAATTAAAGAGAAGGATGGTTGGGGTTATCAGTCAAAATAAAAAATAGTAAAAATAAATAATTATATTTATTTTTAAATTTATATTTATTATAAAAATAAATATAATTATTTATTTTTACTCTTTTTGAGTATTTGTTTATTTTGACTGATCACCCTAACCATCCTTCTCTTTAATTACTTTTTTTTTGTTCAAAATATAACCCAAGATGAACACACTCAAAACTTCAGTGATACTGCTTTAAAATGTGATTAAAAAGTGACTTACCAGCGTCGACAATGTGCTGTAGTGTCGGAAACCGCTTCTTCACACGAACACTTACGTGTTTTAACGTAATGACGTACGCTAGGATAGCATATCTCACGATAGTCCTACGCATCAATCTGCCTCGCTCATCCTAAACATAAAATTCGTAAAATATGGTAATAAAACAAGTACATTTTTTTGTTTAAGTTAATTTAAATTAATTAATGACATGTTAATCTATTTATTATAATGAAAAATATAGAAAAGTGACGTCAAGATTTAAATAGGAATTCTTAAAAATTTATGTCATATAAAATAAGATCACGAAGAGGTGATTGGTCGAAAACTTCTACTGATAGGAATAAAGTTCTGGATTGTTAAGACAAAAGAAATTATATGAGAAGATTTTTAGCTTATTTTTTCTAAATACTTATTTAGCAGTCATGAAGATGACTGATTACCAGTGAATATTTTTGAATTGGACAAATCTTAAATCATTTAGTCATTATTTTTAAGAGAGCGACTTTTTGTTTGGAACATGAATTGTTGCTATTATGTTTGCCATTATTTCATCTTTTGGTTTTTTTTTTTTTATTGCTTCCTAGATTTTTCTATATGGATTTTGAAATTGAAAATCATCAAATAAACTCATCTACTGTGAACTCATTATTTCTAATAGTATAATTTAGGAATAAATATAAACCATGGTATGATTACGTCGCTGATAATAATGGCCATTTTAGACTAGGAAATGCCGAAGTCTAATTTAACGAAAGGGCATACAGCTAATAACTATTTGAAGTTTAAGATAATTCTCATCTGAAGACTCAACATCAGTCTGTTGCTTAGAACAGACTATCATATATAACATGAGCCTAATATAATACGGACTCCTACAATATTACATACATATACATATGTGGTTTTCATAAAAGCTATCGTTGGTATTATTTAATATTTAATTGTATAGATCACAGCGTACAGAAACAAATAAAATTTCCCGCAATGAAATATAAATAAATATAGCGACCTTCTTTATTAGTGGCACTCTTGTCGGACTGAAAATATTTCGTGACACTTAATTATTTAGTATAATCAAATCAATAATTGAAATATATAGTCGTAAAAGAAAATGGCTCGCGTCAAAAAAATAAATATAAATAATAATAATAAACAGCTACGAAAAACATATGGTAATTGTTAATGGTAATGGTTGTTTTAAATAATATTTCGGACCGTCTATAAGTTTTACTTTACTTCCCGTTGTATGAAAAAATTTATTTCTGCTAAGAAGAGGGTGGTAAATGAAAGTTGTGTGATGAGCGCAACGCACCAGATTTTGTTTTATATAGTATTACTATCAGTCAGAATGCTTTAACGTATAAATACATTTTTTTTTCTGTTGGCTTTAGAGACCTTGTAGATTTTATGCCGCCCAACCACCCTTCCAGTTTTCTGTATGCCGAAGCACTGGAACACTTTATTGAATCAATCTATTCATTTGGTTTTTGGCCTTCCATGTGGTTTCTTGCCTACTATTGAGAAATCGTTATGGAGAACCTTAATGATGGGTTGCTTCGAGATACATATCCAGCTTATCCTAACCATTATCACGAGATATCGGTAGACCAGTTTCTGTAAGCAGTCCTTTATTGATCCTCCTCTTCTATGCATTATTAATCTGATGACAGATTGCTTCCGTTCGAAGAGAAGCATTTTCTTCTCAAATATTTTAATACTTCTTTCAATGGTGGTGGTTCGTGTCCAGGTCTCGCAAACTTTTATCCGAACTGGATTTATGCATTGTACAACCATTGAAAGAGTGAAGAAAGCTTTGTCAATGTTAGATCAACGTTGGTCTATTTCTCACCGTTGGTCATTCATTAGTGTTATTGTAGAGTCGTGTATTTAAATTGGTCTTCCCCCAAGAACTATTTTATTTCTACGTGGATCTTGTTTTTGGATTGAAAATACACCCCTTAAATGTGTATAGTATTATTTGCATTTTTTTATTTTTACTAATATAAATACGTTAAACCTCATACTTCGGCTATTATGTTCACTTCTTTCAAGATTTAAAAAATTAAATCTAAAACAGAAACTGAATATTTACATTTATCTACTGAAGCTCATATGAACCTAAGCTTCACAGAAATACGGAACAGACAAAACGACCCACATACGAAACCTTTCTGTCAAAAACATTCAGGACTATAATTAAAACTCCATGATACGCCTCAAACATTACTTTACATGCCTTTAGATGCCAACAGTTAATGACCACATACACAACATTTATACATGATATGGCTTTCAGAACATGCCAGAAAACACGTTTAGGAGACTCAAAAGAACCTGGATGGAGGGATATTCTCGCTTAAAAAGTGTAATAAAATGAAGTAGCAAGGGATGGCGCTGGGCATTCCTCTCTCTCACGCCGATCAATGCTATTACTAGGATTATTTCCGAGGAAGCAGACCCATTGATGGTATTACTGACATATGTGACAAAATCAAGTTAAAAAATATATAAATACATTAAATATAAATATATAAAAATGTCAATAAAGTTGTATATTTACCACTCCGGGGATGGCCGCTGAAACAAAAAGCGCCAGTGTATCGGGCCATGGAAGAAGCCTGTACTGCTCCCACCACCTCTTCACTACCAGCGTTACATAGAATCCAAGCACGAATGCCATTGGAATATTCTCACTATGTTTATAAAAGTATTGTCGTACGATTTCGAACGTTCTGAAAAGAAAAAAAAAATACATCGTTACAAAAAAAAATTTGTATACTTATTACAATAAGTAATTAGGAATTGTAAGAATAGTGGATCAAGACCATTGTTCTGATTTTGAAGTTCAGAACGGGCCATGAAAAAAGCCATTCCAAAAGTAACGAAAATTTTAAGAATATCATTCATGGACGAACTTGAGAAAAATTCAATAGCTTAAGCCAATTCAGTTTATAAAGTTTTCTTGTTTCAAATTTCTGTATGGTCGCTAACTTGTCTGTCATTATTAAAAGAAAATACGATGCGGTGCACCACACAATTTTAACTTACCACCATACGTTTAGTAAAAATTATTTTACTAAATAGCTAATAAACCTAAGCAATATTTTAAATTATAAATAAAAACTTACGACAGTTAATCAAGGTCAAATAGAGACAATTCCGTGCACTATATTTAGATTTTATTATGATGACAATATATTTTAAAATATATCCCTCTATTTTCCATGGTAGTTCCATAGAAAAAAAATCCTATTCAGTAACATAAAAGTACTCATGTTTAGTCAAAATCGTCATCGCCATTTTCGAGAAAATATGTTGCCATAACATCTCAGCCAGAAACCTACTCTAAATATATAATTTCAGTTTCGTACGACTTTTCGTTTTTACTTTCACTTACCTGTATATGAAATATATTATAAGGAAAAGTATCGTGAAAATTTTCGAATCAAAGTTTTCAACGGAAATTCACGTTTTGAGGTCCCTTGAGTCCAAATAATCATATCTCGGATTTGGATTCCGATTAGTGAATAATTTTACCTGTGTGAAATCACAATATTATTCACTTATAATTAGTGTGACAACTTTTGACCTATCGATGGATAGAAATAAAATTATCGTAACTCGATTGTAGTAAACTTTACTATTGGAAAATAAGGGCTAGTTGCTCCAACCCAGTAAAGCTTAGACTAAGCGTTACGTTGGTTAAGATTAAACCAAGTTTTCTAAGGTCGATCAATCAAGATTAAACTTGGTTTAATCTTAGATAACGCTTAATCTAAGCTTTACTGAGTTGGAGAAACTGGTCCTAAGAGTTTAATAACTAATAGTAGTGCAATCCATAATCATTTATAGGTTAAATATACAAATGTATTTTCTAATCTTTCTAGTTATATATAGCTCAGATACTTGAGTTACACGGCCTCAAAAAAACAGATTCGAGTTACAAAGTTTTTATTGTCTACCGTCGATATAATAAATAGTTTGTATTATTTTAATGGCCGTAATGAGTTGTAACAGAATAGCTGTAACGTTTAAGGTTTAGCTCCGTTAAAAATTTACTTCAAAAACTTAGAAATAACCTAATGTTGCCAGAAAATAATTTCTATTTAAAGTAGAGCGGTAAGTGAAAGTTGTGTGATGCTCTCACTAGATTTTCAACTTTTATAAGGCCTTGATTGATATTTGTTTGGTTCAAAATTTATTTTAAAATATACTCTTCAGGCAAAGTATAAGATCACCAAAAACAACCTAAAAGAAAAAGAAACCAGCAAAAATAAAGAATAGTGGCCAGTATTCGTAGATAATGTAAGTTTTCTGTAACGCTTTCTTGTAAATAGAGCATTTCTTTCCAGTATTCATCGAATAATTCCCAGCTCAATTGCTTCCTGGTAAAAGCTGCCAGAGATGCAGGATAGTCACGATAAAAAGAAAATAGTCATCAATCTCGTCCTAGTAAAGGGTAATAATCTTCAAGATGTCTAGAAATGGAGCCGTAGATAGAGAACATGTCTAAAAATAACCGTTTATTAAGGTGACTAGCGGTACGGTCGGGGAAGGCAATGCGGATTCCTACGGCGGACATAATAAGTTCAGGATACTATAAATAGTTGTCTGCAACCGGTTGCAGAAGAAAAACCGGACGCGGAAACAGGACTCTGCACCGAGCAGGAATCTCAACTCGCTTCCAAGACCCTTCATCCCCTGGGCTAGGATTATATCTGTCCGCGGGGAACAGGGAGATATAAAGTTATGCAGGTGGTTAATAGGTCCTGGAATCTATGATGATAATAATAACCTCTGCTCCGAAGCTGGGTAATTACTATGCGGGATAGGATACCATCGCCCCTTCATCTTCCTGTCAGTCCTGCCCGATAGTTCTGGCTGGCCCTCAGGCATCCACTCTCGTTTGCACGGCTCCGGTAGTCTTTTGTGATCAGTGATGTACAGTAATAAGAGAACCGACTATGTATGTACTAAAGAAGTATCAACGTCCATGAAAGTTACGAAGACCCGCTATTCGGAAGGAGAAGGAAATATTTAAAGAGTTGATGGCAGACCTCAAGAGCCACAAATAGTTCATACCAATCGGTTACGATTTTCAAATAGGATCATATAGATCCCATTTTTCGCAGAAATGTAGAAAATTTATGTTTTGTGTTTTTTAAATGTCAAGTTTTTTGTTGAATAGGAATAGATAACTAAAAGAAATATTTAATATAAATAATTATGAATTGCTTCACAGCAAACTAAACAAAATTTAAACCAAACGAAAGTAGAGTTTCACATTTTTGAAACTATTTGAAGAGGATTTTAAAGCGGCTAAACTTTTTTGTTATTCAAAAAATCATGAATTATTTCCGTTTTTTTTTTATAATCTTCTAACTATATTACAGTTAACTTAAGTTTAGAAAAACTTCCTTGTATATAAACTTTAAGTTCTTATTAATTAAGTTGAGGTTTCATATATCTCCGGATCCAAATTGGAATTTATCTGTATTTATAAGTGACCAACTACATGATTCTGATCCTCTACTACTTTGTTTTAAAATAATGAAAATTAATCATTACTGTGAATTCTAATGCATCTACCATTTATCGACCAAATTGTAATATATGTATATTTTTTGCATCGTTTTATATTATTTCATGACCCTGCTAGGTCATGAAAGGTCACAGCTCTCGTAACAACTTATTATAAATTTAATAAACAGTGACAGTTTTAATTGCTTTCCATTCCATAAAGATAATTTACTGACTAAACAAATTTTGTAATTGTCGAAAAATAATTTAACTGTCTTGTAATTAAATTAAATTAAAATTTTCAAAAATGCCTGATCAAAGATAATCCAAGATTACTTAGCAAAAGTTTGACTGATTATTGTATCGGGCGATTTACGCCTTCAGGGCGTGTCGAATTGATAAAAAAATCATCGAAATGAAATTGTATTAAAATTAGATTTTTTGAGTATTCTTAATTTATTCTTAAAATTCCTGAGTTAAATGTTATAGAATGAAAGAGGAAATGAACAAATACATACATATTTAAAACCTCACATTCTCTTACAATAACCGTTAACCTATTTAACACAAAACATAGAGGCATGGCATTAATTATTTTCACAAAATTTCCTTCAATGGCAGTATTACAATTTTGGATTGAAAAGATTGTAGTTTTTTATTAGTGAGTCTTTTTTGTTGAACTGTAAATCTGTGAGGCATATGTCCAAATAGGTTAGAGTATGTATGTGTGAGTACTTAGTTTTTGCCTGATAAATTAAAAATTAAATAATTTAATAACATGACCTATTCCACTATATTAAAATTAATTTGGAATGTTACTTCAGAAGGGGTGATTGGCGACCGCGTTGGAAAAGAAGTCAGATATTTTCTGTTTCGAAATGATATGGGTTACATTTATTGTTTAAACGTATCCCAACGATCTGATTCTGGTTTGTAAATGGTAGACAAATCCGTTCGAGATTGTTAAAAACGGCCAAAAGACTACCAGTATTCTTATTCAATGTCGTTTTGAATCGGCTACTTTTAAAGATTTCGTCTATAAATAGCCTACTCGAGATCGATTCACCTTCGAAATTTTCTGTTAGTGAATCAACCAAGAACCTATAATTGAATTTTCACCACAACCTTCTCGGCTATTCTAATCTTTGCCTTTTTACATTGCGGAAGGCCGAACTTTAGACGACCTTCATGTCATCCGAATCATCAATGGGACAAATATTCTTCCGATTGCCTAGTATTACTCATGATTGATATTATCCGATTGATAGATATAATCCGGCAATATTTTCTTAAAAATTGCATGATTTTTTTTTTAATAGGGGTAAAAAACCAGGTTGTGCCATCCGACGTCTTCGCGCTAAGTGAACTCATTAAAATGAGGGATTATTGAATGATGAGAAGAACTTGCAATTAGGTCAATTGCAATTGGTTTCTATTGATTCAATAGAAGATCTTTACAACCAGGAGTAAGTCCTCAAACTCTTAAATTAATCTTTGAATAAATGCTGGTTTATAAAAAAAATAAAATAAATAATAGCTTATCGTCTGAAATTAACATAGATTTGGGTAGGGAGACAGACAGTTGGGTAGGACGGAATGAACAAATGAGTTGATCGGCCAAATATGCGGACTTAACACCTTAGGATTTAGTTAAATTTCTATTACAAATTGACAATAATCTAAAATTTCATCAAGTAAATTGTTATAATTCAAGACAGTTACCGATTTTGAAAGTTTGTGCGACTGCTCAGCTAATTTATAACTCCCAATAATTATAATTATGGATAGATGGCGGATAGATGGTCGGTTGTAGTAAACAATAAAAGAGAAGTTGGTGGGGGTGTTCACAAATACAAAGTAAAATAAATATATTTATTTTTATTCCCTTTGTGCCTAAGTGATGTTTCGGCCTAAGTTTCAGGGTAGAGCGCTCAAAATATTTCAGATGAACGGTGTATTCATTCAGTGATGACTTTTTATTCATTATTTAAAAAAAAAAAATTATTTTTTAGGATTCGTCTTAAATCTTTCAAAAACATTGCCCTAATGGTGGCCTGAAAGTTGGGGCGAAACGTCGGCATAAATAGAATAAAAATAAATATATTTATTACTGTTGCCCAAAATCATGCTTTTGTGAATAAAAAATTAAGGAGAAATAATTACCAATACCAGATAATTTTAGTTACTGTATGTGGATAATTGGTAGAACCAA